CCCAGCCCGTGGCTCTCAAGTTGTATACGTGCAGGAACTGCGGACGCTTGGAGTAAGAGACCTTCGGGAACTGCTTCGTTCAGAAGGCTCGCAAATGCGTGCTACCATGTATCCAAGGCATCCATTACGCAATCTGGCAGTTCTGTAAAATGAGTCCGAAAAGGGGTGGCTGCAAGATGGATGAGGTTATGTGTTTTGCGTTCGACAACTGGTGAGAAACGGCAAGATTGATTTCAGCAATCTTGAATCTTGATCCTGGTGCTGACGCAACGATTTTGATGCCCTTGCCATACGTAGTCTGTTTCTGCTGGCTGCTTTCCCTGGGGTGATCAGGGAGTCTGAGAAATCCCCTGGTGGCTCTCACAATCCCGTACTTCGCGGCACAGGTCATGGAAAAGGCTTCTCTCATCAGTCAGCTTGTGTGGTTGACACTCAGTGTTCTGTTCTTGTCATATGATTCTGTACTTGTACAAGAACTGGGATACCTGGGATACCTGTCTGTGTTGTTCTCTTTCGAAAGAAGCCAGCATGGCATCGTTCAGGAAACCTGCGGAGTAGTTAGTGGACTCTCTGAGTTTTTGGAACCCTTGGCACTTGTACGATGTCAAGGTTGCTCTTAACCAGCTGAGACAGTCCAAGATTGCCAGTTTTTATTCAGAGCCGACCTCTGATTGACTTCACAGGCATCGACTTCTCTGACTGTGTTGAGAAATCGGACCTGATTGCTCGAGCAGCTTTGCATTTGTCCTGGCCTCTCTTGCTGGATTTCGTGAACTGATCCCTTGCAAATCATTGCCATGAAGTGACCTGAAGGCCCGGAGTCGCTGAACCTTGGGATGCGGCTCCCGAGAAAGCCCGGCACAACTTGAACCAGCGCGAATAGCTTTTCCAACGGCTTGGTGAGCGGGTTGGCACCAGAGATATTGACAGGCACATGCTGCTTCTTGAGCCGAAGCGGCCAACAAAGGAAGACATCCTCAGGCTCATTTTCAGGTCCTTAAAGAACACGTCTGTTTGTGCTGTCGGCAAGGCAGAGGGCACAGGCAGCAGTGCATGCAAAACCAGGTGGCCTCCGATTTCAAGATATGGTCAGTTGGCAGACCTCTGGCAAAAGGTGAAAACGGGACGCCTTTGCCGCCTTTGCAGTGCGCCGCGGCTCAGGTGCTGCTTTTGCTGTGCAGACTTGATCAGATGAGGAATTTGAATTGTGTGCAGGCGAAGGCAGATTGCCCTCGACAGCCATGTCGCGCAGAGCCTCCAGCCACTGAGCACTACTAGCATGATCTAGCCTGGCAGCTCTTCAAGAGTGGGTACAGGCCTTCAGATCTCATATCTTCCCCAAACTCGTTGTTGCGACGCTCATCCACGTGGTCATCGCAACCATAAGCCATAAGCATCATCAAGCACGTGACCTGTGTGACTCCCTCATTGTTTTTGCAAGGAAGTTACTTTCGAGCTGGTGGACTGAGCCTTGCCGGGGGTGCCAGATTTGGATGCTCCGTTCAACGGTGAACGCCCAGCAGCTCCACTCGCGGCTGTCGAATTTGTACAGAGCTGTTTGTTCCAAGTTTGCTAGCTTTCGACAGCTGGCCTTGGAGCTGGCCTTGGAGAAATGCACTGCCATTTCAACCATATCGCACCTGTGCAATTTCGCCCAGTTCTGGCTGGTATGGAGCTTGCACTTGCATTCTGAGCTTGTCAGTGTGTGTCTGTAACAATGGAGAGACCTTCTGAGCGCTTCTGTCGCAGCTCTGGTCAAGAACTCCCTGGAGCAGCGCATTGCAAGCAGCGATACCGCGCGTGAGTTAGAGGTCAGCCCCCTAGAAGGACCTAGAGATCCCGAAGAAAGAAGTCGGGATTGGTGTTTGACCTGCCAGTTGCGCGTGCTGGCCGAGCAGGAGCTGAGGTTGAAGGAGGCTGGCCAGCTTTTCCTACGTAGTGTTTGCAACAGAACCCATCTGCTCAGAGAAGGCTTTTGATGTTGGGTCGTCCATCTTGTGCAGTAGATCTTTGGACGCGAGGATTACTTAGATATTTTTAAAGATATTTAGACTAGTTAGTTTGGGATCCCCTTCACATTACCACTGTAGAATGGGGGTCCCCGTGGGCCCTGTAAAACGTTTTTTTTAGTTCTGGGGGGTGCCCTGAAACCCATCATTTTACAGATTTCAAGGCCTGGGCTCGACAGAGGA